CATGTATAAAAGGAGAAGTGATCAACAAGGTGAGGATCCGGAACACCACATCAAACATAAACTTGACAATGAGAGACTAGACTAGTGGAAAGTACTTGCACAAGGAGAAGAGACTAACTAAGCAAAGATCCGGAACATGAACTTGAACATGGTGGATTAGAGTAGTGGAAAGCACATGTATAAAGGAGAAGAGTTCAACAAGGCAAAAGATCCGGACAATGGGAGACTGGACTAGTGGAAAGCACATGCACATTGAGTAGAGATCAACAAGGTAAAGATCCGGAATATTAACTTGACAAGGAAGGGTTAGACTAGTGGAAGCACATGCACAAAGGAGAAGATATCAACTAAGCAAAGATTCCGAACATGAACTTGATAATGCACCAAGAGAAAGGGATTAACTAAGCAAAGATCCGGAACATGAACTTGACAAGGAAAGACTAGACTAGTGGAAAGTACATGCACAAGGAGAAGGGATCAACAAGGCAAAGATCCGAAACATAATCTTGACAAAGAAAGGATAGACCAATGAAAAGCATATGCATATGAAGGGAAGATCATCAGGAACATTACACTAAGTATGAACATGACAACGAGTGACTAGACTAGTGGAAAATACATGCATATGAAGAGAAGATCATCCGGAACATCACACTAAGTATGAACATGATAATAAGTGACTAGACTAATGAAAAGCACATGCATGTGAAGGAAAGATCAAMCGSAACATCACACTAAGTATGAACAAGGCAAAAATATKCTAGACTAGATGGAAARCACTTGCATATGAAGGGAAGATCAACCGRAACATCACACTAAGTATGAACAAGGCAAAGAGATGCTAGACTAGATGGAAAACACTTGCATATGAAGGGAAGATCAACCGGAACATCACACTAAGAATGAACAAGGCAAAGATATGCTAGACTAGAGTGAAAGCACTTGCATATGAAGGGAAGATCAACCGGAACATCACACTAAGTATGAACAAGACAAAGAGATGCTAGCCTAATGAAAAACACATGCACATGGAGGAAGATCATCCGGAACATCACATGCTATTACATAAGTGAAAACAAGAGTCTAAAAAGGCAAGATCACCAAAGTTGAATCAAAGGTCATCTATGAAAGAAACGCTATACTACCTATTTGTGTGAGTGTGAAAAACACAAGTTTGGAGAGCCCAAACCACCAAGTTTGTATCAAGAATCATCCATGGGTGCAACACTATACTACCTACTTGTGTGAGTGTGAAAATCACAAGTTTGAGGCTCCCAAATCACCAAGATTGCATCATGGATCACTCATGGGTGAAGCGCTACACTACCTACTAGTGTGAGTGTGAAAATCACAAGTTTGNGCTCCCAAATCACCAAGATTGCATCATGGATCACTCATGGGTGAAGCGCTACACTACCTACTAGTGTGAGTGTGAAAATCACAAGTTTGGAGAGCTTAAATCACCAAGATTGCATCAAGGAGCATCCATGTGTGAAGTGCTACACTACCAACTAGTGTGATTATGAAAAACACAAGTTTGGAGAGCCCAAATCACCAAGATTGCATCAAGGAGCATCCATGTGTGAAGCGCTGCACTACCTACTAGTGTGAGTGTTAAAAACACAAGTTTGAAGCTCCCAAATCACCAAGATTGCATCATGGATCACTCATGGGTAAAGCGCTACACTACTTACTAGTGTGAGTGTGAAAATCACAAGTTTGGAGAGCCCAAATCACCAAGATTGCATCAAGGAGCATCTATGAATGAATCGAAGTACTTCCCCCTAGTGTATAAGTGAAAGAGGTGAGTTTGAGTAGCCCATGGAGGAAAGAAGATGAAGAGAGGGTGGAGGAGAAGGGGAGAGAGATGAGGGAGATGGAGATGGAGAAGAAGGGGGGGAAGACAAAGAGAGTGAAAGTGAAGAGGAGGAAGGAGGAAATGAGGAGGGGAAAGAAGAGAAGGAAGAAGGAGAGAGTGAGGAGGAAGATGGGAAAAAAGAAGGAGGAGAGGAAGAAGGAGAGAGTGAGGAGGAAGAAGGGAAAGAAAAAGGAGGAGAGGAAGAAGGAGAAGAGGAGGAAGAAGATGAAGAAGAAGAGGAAGAAGAAGAAGAAGAAGAAGAAGAAGAGAAGAAGAAGAAGATGAAGGTGAAGAAGTCTCTTCCTTCCTCTCACTTTGTTGATTCCTTGATATTGGTGTCCTCTTGATGAAGCTTCTTCTTCTTGCACAATCCCCTGTTGGCTATGGCTTCCTTCTTCTCCAAGCC